ATCTCCATAGTCCTTTATATATTTATAGATCGTTAATTCAGTGCTGTACGCAGCCCAGAGTCATTTTTTATGGTATGACAGGCCATGTAAATTTGATAAATAACATCTTGTAACTTTGCCAAGAAAACTGCAAGAATGTAGCCACAGAAGTCAAGTTAACAAATAACAGATAATCAGAGTTGGAAGAGACCTTTTAGGTCATCTAGTCCAACCCCCTGCCCAAGCAGGAGACCCTACATCATTTCTCACAGATGGCAGTCCAATTTCTTCTTGAAAGTCTCAAGTGATGAAACTCCCACAACTTCTGAGGGCAAGCTGTTCCATTGGTTGATCGTTCTCACTGTCAGAAAGTTTCACCTTATTTCCAGGTTGAATCTCTCCTTGTTCAGTTTCCATCCATTATTCCTTGTCTGGTCTTTGGGTGCTTTAGAAAATAGCTTGACCCCTTCCTCTCTGTGGCAGCCCCTCAAATATTGGAAGACTGCTATCATGTCTCCCCTGGTCCTTCTCTTCACTAGACTAGCCAAGCCCAGTTCCTGTAACCGTTTTTCATATGTTTTAGTCTCCAGTCCCCTAATCATCCTGGTTGCTCTTCTCTGTACTTTTTCTAGAGTCTCAACATCTTTTTTATAGGTGACCAAAACTGGATGCAGTTTTGGTTGACATAGAAGGTATCATTACTTTTAACAATACAAGGAGAGTTACCAGATCTACCCACAGTTAAATATGCATCAGAGGTAGCACACACTGGCTCAAAGGCTAGGAATTTTATCTAGAAAAGTATAACTAACAACATTACAACAAACTACTGGAGATTCTGTGATCAAATTCTAGGAAGGTACAACACATTTCCTGCTGTTATTAATTAAATAGTGCTGTGTGTTACATAAAATGCTGAGTTGTCAATACCAGGAAGTGCATCACGCTGGTTAATCTTAATATCACTAAAAACATTCGAAACAAAAAAAAGAGCTGAAATAAGTGAATAAACAGGGAATTTTCTGGGGAATTTAAAGGAGAGTCAGTTCAGATCCCCTACTGTATAATAAATATTTTCATTAATGTTTTGGATGAATAAAAAGGAAGGATAATTAGGCACAGTAGCAACAAGACAGGAATAATATTCAGAAATGTCTGTATGAGTTGGAGAAATAGGTGTAAAGAGTCATAATGATATAGATAGGTAGGGAGAGAGAGGGAGAGAGAGAGAGGGAGGGAGAGAGGGAGGGAGAGAGAAAGTGTTATTCACTTTTAAGACAACTGCACATGTATACCGTACCTAACTTGGTATAGTACTTGTGATAAAAGTGTTGAAATAGTAACTGAAGGCAAACTGAATATGAACCATATGGCTGCAAAGAAAGAACAAGTAGATCTAAGGTGCACCAAATAAAAACTACTTTGGAGACCATGAGAAGAAATTGTCCTACTTAATTCTGTTTTGGTCAGCCCTGACTTGGGAATTGAGACTCACATTGTTTCTACCCATTCAGTGTGTTTAGGTAGAGGAGGATGCACTCCAGGTCTGCTTAATTAAAGTCGTTCTGTTGGACCAAGGAACCTTCTCTATCATTGCCCTTGCCCTCTGGAATAGCACCCAAATTCCAAAGGTATGCACTCTTCAAAGTTCTGGAAATCTCTTAAAACATGGTCCTATTCCCAGGCCTTGGGTTAGAATGGCTGTGGAACTCCTATTGAGTCTTACATGCTGAGAGTGCTGATTTTGTCTCTACAACCTTGGGGTTTTAGCTCCTGTATGTTGTAACTTATGCATTGGAAATATTGCAAGGAGTCTTTTTGGAGTTGGGCAGCCTTAACAAATATAACAAACAAATAAATAGCTCTGTGTGGCCATTAATAATATGAAGAGGGAGGATCTGTTCTCTCATCATGTTAGAATTTCAGCACTGAATGTGTTCAAGATGACAGAATTGCAACATATGAAAGACAAATACAGTTCTTATAGTTTTACGATTTTGTGGAGTTTAGAACTTGTGCTCAACCATTGACATGAACCACAAATAGATCAGCAGAAGAAAATTATTCTTCTTTTTCTACCCATTATGCAGTTAAATTATGAAATTTCTTATCAGAGTTATAGTAACAGCAGTCACTTTAGATGAGATTAAAAGGAGTCTGAATGCGTACTTTCCCAGAGCTTCAGATTATCAGTGGTTGCTGTATTAATGACTGCTTACTGTATTATCTTCCGGGTCAAATATACCATTCGACACTGGTTGCTGAGAAGTGATAGTGGAAAGGCGTTACCACCCTCCAGTGAGCTTCCTAAATGCATTCAATTAACTCCATGTGACACAAAATGCTAGACTAGATGCTCAATGTATTTTGTTCTTATGAAAACAATGTTCCATCTCCTAGCTGCATTGAGCAACAACAAAACCAAAAGGATTGTTGAGATTGGTTACACCTTTGTACAGCAATCTTCTTCAATGTGGTGTTTTCTGAATGTTTTAGAATTTGGCCATGTTGGCTGGGTATTAACATTGGCAGCCTGGCATAGCCAAAAGGCTTCAATTTAGAGACTGTTTACAGGTTCAGTTTCCCTAAAAAGGGGGATTTTGGTATAAGAGAGGTCAAGCAGAATGGTCAGAGCTTAGAACAACTCCTGTACAGTATGAAGAAAGACCTTTATTGGAAAGAAATAAAGTGATAGCTAACACAATTCTGAAAAAGGGTGAAAAATTTGAAATGAATAAGCAGATGTTTTTCTCTATTTCATAAACACTAGAATGCAGAGTTATTAAAAGGAACTGAACGGTGGGGATTCTAGACAGAATAAAGTATTGCATTTAATACTGAGTTCATGGGATTTGTTACCAAAATATGTTGTGGTAATCTTCCTTTCAAAGATTAGGAGAAGATTACAGGTATTCCTTGAATTATAACCATAATGGAGACTGCCCATTAGGGTAATAAGTCATGGGTCATCATGTAATCAACCTGATTCTATAACTTTTTTTGCAGTGATTGTGAATCATCATGGTCATTAAGTGAGTCCATAGTTGTTAAGTAAATGCCATGGTTTTTTAAGTGAACTCATTTTTCACTATGGGGCATTTTTGCAAAAACCAGAAGTAAATGCCGATTTTCAGTGAAAATGCCATAAATTGCAGCCACGTGACTGCAGGATCCTGCAAAGGGTCATAAAGGCAGGCTGGGTTGCCAAGTGCTTGAACTGCATCATGTGACCACGGGGGGGGGCTGTGTGTGGTCATCGGAACTTCAGAACTGGTTCGTAAGTATCTTTTTGGTGTGAGGGTGCCTGTCCAAATTTCAAATGGTCATTAAGCAACTGGTTGTAAGCCGAGTACAAGGGAGGTGAGGGGAGTCAAGCTATTCTCCAAAACACCTGAAGGCAGGACGAGAAGCAATGGGGGAAGATAATCAAGGACAGAACCAACCTGAAACTAAGGAGAAATTTCCTGACAGAACAATTAATCAGTGGAACAACTTGCCTCCAGAAGTTGTGAATGCTCCAACAGTGGAAGTTTTCAAGAAGAGATTGGATAACGATTTGTCTGAAGTGGTCTAGGGTTTCCTGCCTGAGCACGAGATGGGTCTAGGGGCATGCATAAGTGCACCATCGTGCCTACCGTCCCTGTTCTACTGTCCCCATTTATTCGCACCTATTTCCTGTATTCTTACTCATGTTTATACTTATACCTATTTTCTTGTAAGCGATTGACAAATCAAATAATAAAATAAATAGATGACCTCCAAGGTCCCTTCCAAGTTATTCTATTCTATTCTATTCTATTCTATTCTATTCTATTCTATTCTA